GGTCGTGATGGCCCATCTGCGTCTGCTAGGTGTTCGGGTTTTGACCTACCTCGCCAACTGGTTGGTATGGGCTCCCAGCCAGTTCGCTTGTCTGCTCGCCAGGGGTTTAGTTCTTTCCCTCACTGGGTTCAAGTTCCTGGTGAACTGGAAAAAGTCCCATTTGGTTCTGTCCCAGGCTCGGACTTGGCTGGGCCTGGTCTAGGATTCTCGGACAGCATCCTTGTCTCTCTCTCCTGTGGCATTACTCCGGCTGCAACCGGTCGAAGGCGTCCCGCCTTCGGCTGCTCCTGAGGGGGTCTTTGGCTGTTATGAACTGAGTGGGTGTAACTGGTGTAACTGGGTGTAACTTTCTTGAAGATGATCGAAATCCTGGATGAAACTCCTGCTGAAACAGAGAATCACTAATAAATGCCGGCATAGCAATTTCAAATGCTTTAAAACAAATTGTCCATGACACCAAGGTACAATCAGACGCGGCGCAGAGCTCGGTGTCAGCGGCGCCAGAGCAGAGTACAGTGTTGGAGACACCGGAGCAGAGCATGGTGTTGATGGCGCAGGAGCAGGTCACGGTATCGATGGCGCCAGCGCAGAGCGATGTGTCGCGGGCACCGGAGCAGAGCACAGTGTCGGGGGGCACCGCAGCAGAGTGCGATCCCTGGGAAAGAAAAACAAACAAAACAAGGACCCAAAATCTGTCGGTATTACAAATGGGGTACCTGTAAGCATGGGATATCGGGAAGAACAAATGGAACATGTAAATACGATCACCCTAGAAAGTGCAGAAACCTCCTCAGTACAGGTAAATGTACCAAAAGCTGTGAATTCTTTCACCCAGAAATTTACAAGAACTCTTTAGACAGGAAAGAATGCTTCAATACGGAATGTCCAGCTTTTCATATAAGAGGTACCAGGCTAATAAAACCGACAGACTGCCACTATGAAAACAGCCACAACTCCATCGACCGGGATGATTTTTTAGCAAGAAAAAGAGAAGAATGGCTAAAAATGTCCAGTCCCCCACCACCATCTCGGTCAAATGCTAGAGAGGACGCAAACACAGTGGCCTTCCTACCAGAGACTCTGATATTAACACCCAGTAAAGCATCCAGCACTTCCACAAACACGACAGCATCATTTATATCTGCCAACTTCCAGGGTATAAAAACACGCAAATCCAACAAAGTTCATTTTATAGATGGTTTCCTTCATGAGGCAAATGTAGTGTTTGCAGCCCTAATGGAAACTCACACAAGGGACTACCATGATGGTGAAATATGGATCTCAGAGTACAATCTTTTCAGATGTAACAGGAAACACCAGCTACAGGGTGGGGTCAGCCTCTATATCAAAGACACACTTATCTGTATTGAGCTGCTAAATACCACAAATGATATGGTGAAAGTGCTGATAATCAAAATAGAGATCCTAAATGTATTGTCCTTGTATATAAGTCACCGGAGGCAAACCCTCAACAGTTTAAAGATCAACTAATGAAAATAGAACACTGCTTGGATAACCTCACAAATCCAGCCCCGAACATCATCCTGCTTGGGGACTTCAACCTATGGCACCTGGAATGGAAGCACCTGGCTAATACAGTAATATCAGAAGGAATACCAGGAAGTAGCCTAAATGAACAGGCACACGCAAATGACCTGCTACGGATATGCGACAGGTTTGCCTTAAACCAGCAAATAATAGAACTAAGTAGGAAGGAGAACATGCTGGACCTCATTTTCATAAATAATGATGAATTGATCAGGAACATAATGATTACAAATACCTGTTACTCAGATCACAACTTAATTGAAGTTCTGACAAGCATGGGGAATAGACCTTCAAAATCAGTCCCGATGCCCGGTGGAGGAGATTTCAGCAAATTCAACTTCAATAATAAACAAATAAACTGAGAGCAAATAAACCAAGACTTCACAGAAATAAACTGAGAAAAACAGCTAGAAAATGTAAACCTGAACCAGTGCCTGAAAAAAATAAGCTCAGTAGCACTAGAAATATGCTCAAACTGCATACCTCTAAGAAAAACTAGAGAGATGCAGACTGGAACGGGAACGTCGTTCCCACTATTGGCGAAGAAAACGAATCGCGGAATAACTTGAGAGTCGCACCCTATCTCAAGAATGCCGAAGAAGGTTAGGTAGAGAAATAGAAACAATTGAACTCGCGCTACAAGAATCATACAAAACCCAGGAGAGGCAAAGAGAGCAAAAGGCCATCAGTGAAATAAAGAGAAATCCAAAATATTTTTTCTCCTATGCAAAATCAAGATCAAAAACCACATCTAGTATTGGGCCCCTGCGAAAGGGAGATGGAACTTTCACCGATGACAACAAAGAAATGACCGAGTTACTGAGGAAGCAGTACGACTCTTTCAGCGAGCCACTAAATACACTAAAGATTGATAACCCAAATGAATTTTTCATGGATGTGATACCAACATCAAATAATATATCAGATGTCACCCTATTCCCACTGGATTTCGAAGAAGCTATAAATAGTATGCCTATGCACTGCATCAGGACCTGGTTCTTGGAACTCCATCTTCATCAAGAACTGTAAAAGAAACACTATCGCAGGCCCTTTACATTCTTTGGAGACAAAGCCTAGATACTGGCGTTATCCCTGACATACTAAGAACAGCAGAGATAACACCACTCCATAATTAGAGGAAATAAGGCAAAGGCAAAAAATTACAGATCGATAGCACTAACATTGCACATCATAAAAATCTTTGAAAGAGTGCTAAGAAGTAAGATCACAAAATACATGGAATCACAGCATCTTCATAACCCCGGACAACATGGTTTCAGGACAGGACGCTCTTGCCTGTCACAGTTGCTGGACCACTATGACATGGCATTAGATGCCATGGAAGACAAACAAAACACTGATGTAATATACACAGATTTCACAAAAGCCTTTGACAAATGTGACCATTGCACATAAAATGCGTTCAAAAGGAATTATTGGGAAAATAGGCAGATGGATCTACAATTTCCTGTAACAGAACCCAATGTGTAATAGTCAACAAAATAAATTTCAGCCTATCAACCGTGAAGAGCTCAGTCCCCCAGGATACTGTGCTTGCTCCAATACTTTTTCTCTTCCTCATATGAGACATAGACAAGGACACAATCTATAGCACTGTATCACGTTTGTGGTAGAAAATAATAATAAAAAAAACGTCTGGTAGAAAATAATAAAAAAAACTATATCATCCTTTGTAGATGACACTAGGATCTTCATGAGAGTAGTCAACATAGAGGACACAGCAAATCTCCAATCAGATGAAAATCAGGTCTTTCTATGGGCTACAGAAAATAATATGGCATTTAACGAAGATAAGTTCCAGCTCATGCGCTATGGAAAAAAGGAACATATAAAAATGGAAACCACGTACAAAGCTCAGTCAAATCGTAACATAGAATGAAAAGGCAATGTAAAGGATTTGGGTGTACTCATGTCGGAAGACCTTACCTTTAAAGAACACAATAAAGTAGCTGTCACAACTGCAAGAAAAATGAAAGGTTGAATAACAAGAACTTTTCACACTAGAGATGCTATACCGATGATGATACTTTTCAAAACGCTTGTGCTCTCTAGAGTGGAGTACTGCTGCACAATGACAGCCCCTTTCAAAGCTAGAGAAATTGCAGACCTGGAGAGCGTGCAGAGATCCTTTACTGCTAGAATCCACTCGGTAAAACCTCTAAACTACTGGGACCAATGATGACTAGACCACACACTAGAATGTGAAGGGACGACGACGTTTCCGTCCGTCCTGGACCATTCTCAAGTCGATTGACAATCGACTTGAGAATGGTCCAGAATGGACTGAAACGTTGTCGTCCCTTCACATTCTAGTGTGTGGCCTGGTCATCATACTTTAGCCACATTATTGTGACTCATCGCCTACTGGGACCAACTAAAGAGCCTAAATCTCTATTCTCTTGAGCGCAGGTGGGAGAGATACATAATAATTTACACGTGGAAAATAGTAGAGGGGCTGGTCCCAAACCTGCACACAGAAATAACATCACATGAGACCAGAAGGCATGGCAGTATGTGCAGAATACCCCCATTGAAAAGCAGAGGTGCAACAGGTACTCTGAGAGAGAACTCTATCAACATCAGAGGCCTGAGACTGTCCAGCACGCTTCCACTACACATAAGGGGCATAACTGGCTGACCCCCTCACAGTGTTCAAGAGAGAACTGGATAAGCACCTCCAAAGCATACTTGATCAACCAGGCTGTGATTCGTACATCAGGCTGTGAGCAGCCGTGTCCATCAGCCTGGTTGACCAGTCCAGCAACCAGGAGACCTGATCGACGACCGGACCGCGGGGACGCTAAGCCCTGGAAGCACCTCCAGGTAACCTCAAGGTAAGGTGGGGGCCTCCCTTCTCCTCTTTCCAGGAGTGGGGTGGGGGGCAAATGATCGGTTCATGAATTTGATGAAGATTTTCTTGTAACCTTGTTTTTCTTGGGAAGAGGTGGGGGGAGGTCTTGGGCTTTGTTTGGTCTTGGGGTTGTAATTTTCTACCAGTTGGGGTTCATTTTTGGGCGCCTCTGCCTTTCTGGGTGCCTAACCCCTGTCGATGGCAAACATGAATATACTCTCAAAGATTGGAGTTTTCATAGGCCATTGCTCCCTTCGCCTCTCTGATGGAACCAGGTTCTGGCTCATGGTTCCTGGTAGGCATAAGAACTCCATATGACTGAATCCCTAGACAAATATACCTGTAGCAAATCTCAGTCCAGTAGCTCCAGTGAGCCTCTGAGACTTGCCCAGAAAATGGCATTTCATTACAATCAATGGTGGTTTTTTAGTGCTGCTGGAGTTAGAATAATCTTTAGAAAATATAGAGTTCTTTCTACACTATTAAATTTATACTTTGTATGATACAAAACAAATGTATCCAGAAATACATTGTTTTTGAGGAAATTTATGCTATACTAATAATTCTAAACATTAAACAGGTCTTTAAGCCACCACCAGAGGGAACGCGACTGTGTGTTGTCGCAACAAATGTCGCAGAAACCTCCATCACCTTACCTAGTATTAAATATGTTGTAGACTGTGGGAAAGTTAAAGAAAAGGTGAGAATTCTTTTTAAGTTAATACATGAAATTAAAAAATTTGTAAAATATTCTTGAAAATAGTAAAAATTTACAGTAATTATCTAAGTGGTAATTACCTAGCATTGAATTATAGTGCATTTTGAGTATTTTATATAAAATTTTACAAAGTTTTGGTTCCATGTATTAACTTTTTAACAGTTTTGTACTAATCACATTAGAAGCATTAGTTATCAGGATCATATATGTAATGATGATTAGGGATCATAATTGCTTAATAGTCATGATATAATATTTTTGTTTTGCATTATGGTTTGTTTATTGTCACTCTGTATTACTAATGTTTTTAACAATTTTTGCTCCTTCGTTAAATTTCTAGTAAACAACAAATTTTGTGTTTTGTATATAAAAGGGTAGTTTTATCATTGCAAAGCCTTCATTGTAGAAAGGATTGTATTTTTGGTAGGGGTCCATTAGTTGCTCACTGATGCTACAACCTGGAAATATCCAGGCCTTGGAAAACACACGGTCCTCTATTAGCTCATTAGAGTCTATGAGAAACCAGGACTAGAATCTGGCCTCCTTCCAAGAAGCTAAGGGAGGCCTGGGAATTGGAGCTCTCCATAGAACCAAGAAAAAAACACCAGTAAGCTAATTAGCTCTTCAAAAGAAGCAACTGCTTGGAGACATTTATAACCCAGATTATAACCATGTAAGCAGTTGACACCACAGGAAAATCACTGCATAGACAATCTCTACTAGATAGCAGCCCAGGCAAACTGGAGCCCCATCCAGCCAGACAACTCTTTAATATGCATGGTGCAATGCACTTCAGTGCACCATGCCCACTCACACTTGGCTTCAGTTTTGCAGTTTCTTGCCCTTGTGGAGCTCCATTTGGATGTTGTGGCTCTCGGCTCGGAGCCTGGTGCAAGGGTCTTGTCTGCTGTGGCTTTCTGAGTGGATCTCCACAAGCTCTACTTGCCTGTGCTCTTGGTGGTGGTGGCAGCTGCCATGTTCTTTGCCACCTGCCTCACATGTCAACAGGCTATCCTGACCCAGTCATTAGATTCAGTATGGTCCCTAGCCCCTTTGTCTGCCTTGCCCTTTTTTCCTCTCCTCTTTCAGCAGAATGTGTTGGGTCAGTTTTTGTCATCTACAGCTGCTTTATTTTGGTATTTCTGACCCCTTGTGCTTTCGAATTTATCAGTTTCTTCCTTGCGAAAAATGAAGGAAAAACATTATACAGACCGATAGCACTAACCTCACACATCATAAAAATCTTTGAAAGAGTGCTAAGAAGTAAGGTCACAAAATACATGGAATCACAGCATCTCCATAACCCTGGTCAACATAGTTTTAGCCACTGATTGAGTTCAGTGCTGATATGCAATGAGTGCTAGGTCATCTCTCTGTTACTCTGGCTCCAGCATTCTGCTTTTCAGCCGAGTGGTGGTTTTCATCTTTGAGGCTCATCCTGTACACTGTGGTGTAACATGAGCCAGGAGTTAAGAGTGCTTGGAACTGCATGTGCACAGAGGGGTTATCCTTGTTATGTGAGCTTTAGTAATTATCTAAGTGTAGTTACAGGATGAGAGCAATACTTGTGGTGTCCAGTCTTTCCAGCATTCTTTGTCAGCACTGCTTTGAAATTACTCTCCGATCACGGATACCTCCAATCTCTCGCTGTTCTCCACCTGAGAGGCTCTCGCGGTAGATCCCTTTCTATTGGACTGGTTGGGGTGGGGATATCTGTACCTCATCCCCCTCCCAGTACAGTTCTTGCTCTGGGTCCTGGCAAAATTTGAGTCTACTGGGGAAAGGTTGATCGTGCTCTCTCAGCCTTGGGTTTCAGGTGCTGCTTGTTCAGTATCCAAACCCAGCCACTTGCCCGTGGCTCAGACTCTTTCAGAAGATCAGTCCAGTGATGTACAGTACCTTGCTGATTCCGCCTTCTCCGATCTTTGCGTCTGGAGTGTCTGACACACATTTATTGCCATCTCTATGGTGATCAGGTGACTAATTTGTTGGTGTCCCACCACCAGTCCTCTTCTCGGTGACAGTATGACGTTATCTGGCTTGCTTTTCGCAATTTCCTCTCCCTTTGTAATTCCTCTTCAGTGTCGGTTTTGGTTGTCCTGTCTTTTCTTTCCTGCATTTTCTGGATCGGTATCTTATGCCAAATATTGTTGCCTCGTATCAACATGATTAAAATTCACTAACAATTTTATCATAGTGCCACTGCTCTCTCAGCCCTCATTATAGGGTACCAGGTTCTGGCTCTTGGTCCCCAATAGGCCTAAAAGAACTCTGTGATGATAGCACCTTGTAGTTTGGCACTATATGTGCACTGTAGCTTCAGGGAGCTACTGGGGCTCACCCAGAAATTGGCATTTCATAGATTCATCACTTAGTTTTTTTCAGTTATCCTTCATTGACATAGAATACTGTGAATAGTTTGGAACAAAATGAAATTTCTTTGTATATTGTCTCGCTTGCTGATTTCATTTCTTCAATATTGTGTATTTGGCAGGTATATGATCAGGTAACCGGTGTGTCAATGTTCCATATCACATGGACTTCTCAAGCTTCAGCCAACCAGAGAGCAGGTCGAGCTGGCAGAGTAGCACCAGGGCATTGTTACCGTCTTTACTCCTCTGCAGTATTCAACGATGAGTTCCAAAAGTTTTCTCGAGCAGAGATCCTACGGCGTCCTATTGATGATTTGGTGTTGGTGATGAAGTCCATGAACCTTCCAATGGTCAATTTTCCATTTCCTACCCCTCCTGAACACTTACAGGTATTATTTCGTATTACATAATTATTTTAGTCTTATGAATAAAAAAGAAAATTTGCAATTACAATGATATTCAATTGGAAGGCATTAATTTTTGTTCAATTGTTTATGAGCTTTAGTTTACAGTAGCTCTGAATACAGTAATTTGTTTTTAAAATTCTTGGAATATATATGCTTGCTTTATCCATGTTCTGTTCACTTTTATTATTATTTCTTATATCAGGTACTCCGTGCAATAAAAAGACTGTTGACCTTAGGTGCACTGGAAGAACGGACAGGCCCAGCAGTTGGATTACGTCTTAAAAACAAAAGGGCTAAAGTCAATCGTTCTAAAGGTAAATTATCTTATGTGAAGAACCAAAGAATTTGTAATAAGGAAACATACATAATATATTTATGAATGACATAGATAACAGGGAAAATATTAGTAATGGCAGTGTGTTATTGTGCCTGTACTTTAAGCTTGTAAGAACAAATTCCTGTCATCACAATGCACCAAAATATGATAGCAAACCAAACCTAGATTACTTTGTTAATTAGGAAACAATATCATAGAAAACACACAAGATATCTTTTATGAAACATGACATGTATCGATTGAATGAAAGGTAATATATATACAGGTACTGTAACCCCGCGATTATCCGGGATTCAAACATCCGGAAAACGCCCTTATACGGCCAAAATCGTGATCGGATAAAGTTATCACAATATCCGGCCAAAATGGCCACAGGAACCGGATAAAAGCTGGTTTGGCCGGATGAAAATACGGCCATACCGTATTAATCCCGTCTGTGGCTCTAGACGCATGGTGGAGGAGGGGGGTGGGGTGGGTGGGTGGTGTTGGGAGGGTGGGAGGGGTGCGTCAGGAGGGACCACCTGGGTACAGGAATTACCATTAATTTTAGAACAATTAATCATAGCCAAAAACAAATGAAATAAGTACTAGTGATTATGTAATAACAAATAAATAAGTTTCCTAAAAGCATTGTGCACAGGCTGAAGTTTCCTTCAAAAATATTGTGAATTTTTTTCCTCCTGCGGCCTACGTAACGCGCTATAGCTGCCCCACCCCAAGTGGACCCGTCCAACACTGGTCAACCCATGTGCGTCCGTCCCTCGTGTTATACACAGTGCTGCGCCATTAGTGAAATATTTTTTTAAATAACTTTTTTATTTTCATAGTAACTTTGAACTTTTTGGCCAAGACTATGTCTGGTAGCAGCATCAATCGTTCTGGAAGTGTTAAGAGGAAGAAGATTGTCCTAGCAATTAAAGACAAGTTACGTGTTGTTCAACAAGTGAGGCGTCACAGGCAGCCAAGCGCCTTCAACAAGTGAGGCGCCACAGGCAAGCCAAGCTCCTTCAACAAGTGAGGCATTACAGGCAAGCCAAGCGCTTTCAACAAGTGACGCGCCACAGGCAAGCCAAGCGCTTTCAACAAGTGACGCGCAAGCAAGCGCCTTTAACAAGTGAGGCGTCACAGGCAAGCCAAGCGCCTTCAACAAGTGAGGGCATGCAAGCGCTTCAACAAGTGAGGTGCAAGCAAGCGCCTTCAACAAGTGAGGCCTCACAGGCAACCCAAATGCCCTCAACCAGTGAGGCTTCAGCAGCTGGCAGTCAAAACTAACTTAGCTTAATGAACTGTACAGTAATTTTAAGTGTTAATTTTAGTGTTGTGTTAGTATAGGTTACGTAAATTGTTAAGAATTTTTAACTTCAAGATGTGTGGCATCAATCAAGAAGACGAACACCAACAAGGTAAGTTGAGGTTTCTAGTTGAATATTTAATAATTGTATGTGGCAAGGCAATTCAAATTATGTTGTTTGTAGTATAAAAATAGTTGGAAATGGTCACTTTTGGACTCGTAGGTGAAAAGTACCATTATCCGAAAAATGTGATAATCCGGCTGGGGGTCCTTCCCATATAGTCCGGATGATCGAGTGGAGACAGTAATATTGGAGCCTCGGTGTACAATTACACCTAAGTACAAATTTTTCAGTGTACGACGATAATTGTGTTGAAAAATTTGCCCTGGTGTACGATGTTCTGAGTACAAAGCGCTTGTTCAGTTTCCACTCAATTTAATTAACAGCCTATATGGAACTATACCCAGGTCAATAAATCCTAGGCTCTACTTAACCTAGAGGTTTTAAAATGTCGCTAACTTTTTAGTCATAGGACAACAGTTTAGTTCAGTAGGACAAAAGTGGATGGTGGGTCTGCAGGAAGGATGAATGGTTGGCTGGCTGGCAGGCGAGTGGGAGAGGAGGGGAGGCGGGCAGGAGAGGGAAGGTAGGCAGGAGTGGAGGGGAGGTGGGTTGAAGTGGGAAGGAAAATGTGGGAGGGGGGGTAGGCAAGTTGGATGGCTGGCAGGCAAGTGGGATGGATGAATGGCAGGTGGACAGATGGAAGTATAGATGGCAGGTGGACAGATGGAAGTATAGATGGCAGGTGGACAGATGGAAGTATGGATGGCAGGTGGACAGATGGAAGTATGGATGGCAGGTGGACAGATGGAAGTATGGATGGCAGGTGGACAGATGGAAGTATGGATGGCAGGTGGACAGATGGAAGTATGGATGGCTGGTGGGTGGGCAGGAGAAGACTGACATGATGTTAGCAAAAAATTAATCAATTTTATATTAAAGCAAAAAAAGTTAATAAAGAAAATCTTTCAATAGCAGCAGCACTGTAGAATCATATAAGGGAAGAACACATGGAGGGTGAGTGAGTGGCAGGTAGAAAATGGGTGGGCAGGTGGTAGAGTGGGCAGATGGATGAGCAGCAGGGGTGGGCAGCAAAGTGGGTGGATGGGTGGGCGGTAAAATGGGTGGATGGGCAGGCAGGTGTTAGGGGTGGACAGCCAGGCAATAGAGTGAGATGGTTGGCAGGGTGAGCAAATGGCCATTCGAGCATGCTTTCAGCAGAACTAGCAGGTAGCAAAGTGGGCCAGCTGGTGGCAAAGCAGATGGTAGAGTAAGGAGGTGGGTGGCAGGGCAGGCAGCAGAGTTTGTAATTACCTAAGTGTAGTTACAGGATGAGAGCTATGCTCGTGGTGTCCCATCTTCCCAGCACTCTTGTCATATAATACTTTCAAACTACTGACGGTTTTGGCGAATGTTCGAACTGTCTACCACTCTGTTTGCAAAAGTTAATTTTCTTATATTTCTTTGGCAGCTTTGTTTAGTTAGTTTAAATCTACGATCTCTTATTCTTGAAGTTCCAGGTCTCAGGAATTCTTCCCTATCAATTTTGTCAATTCCTCTTACTATTTTATACGCAATGATCATATTGAGACTTTTTCTTTTATCTTTTAGTTTTGGCATATTTAATCCCTTTAACCCTCAAACCGCTAGGGGCCCCAAATGGAATTCACACCCACAGGCGCAACAAAAAAAAAAATTCAAAAAAATTCTTTCGTCTTATAGAAGTGTTCATTTTTGTTCCCTGATCATGGAAAAAATAAAAAAAAAATCGTAGGTGGCATATTTTAGCCGCAATAGGGTAGGGAAGTGTGGCAAAAAAGGGGCGTTGGCAGAGCCTTCGCCAGGCGAGGTCTACTCCGCCCAAGCTGTCAGACGGCAGTTGCCACAAATATATTATTACCTAATTATTTCAATGTCTCTGATTGATTTTTTCTTAATTTTTCTGGGGGGAGCCCCGTCGGCTCCCTGGAGCTATCCAGGCTGAATGGATATGTATAACTTTCTGGCATCAGTCAAAGTGCTAGGAGTTCTTGCCTACCGGGGACCACGAGCCAGAACCTGGCCCCCTCAGAGAGGCACGAGGAGCAATGGCCTATAGAAACCCCCTTGTGATTGGGAGCATTCTATGTCTGCCATCGACCGGGAGAGGCACCCAGAAAGGTAGGCGCCCCAAAACAAACCCCTATTCTGGTGAAATTATTGCTACCGAAAGCCGAACGAGTGGACAGAACTCCCCAAACAAAATTATCAAACTAGCATGACGTCATCATGTCGCCGCGCCACCGTTTGCGCAACCCCCCCCCCTCCCCGAGAGGGGGAAGGGGGAGCCCCAGACCCTCCACGCCGGCGATCCAACTGGCAGTTCTTGGCTGATGGTTTTACTGGCTGGTCGAGTGCCTCCGGCTCTGGTTTTTGTTTGTTCTGTGCCTTGTGGTGTGGACTGTCTCTACCGGTGGGGTGTGAGCCAGGAGTAAGATTCCAAGGTACTCGGGCTGCATGTGCCTGGGGCTATCTTCCCTAGGTGCCCTGTAAGTACTGCCCTTGGGGCTTGGGGCCACCTTCCACAAGTCACCTTGGGTTCTACCTCCGCCGTGTCCTTTACTGCTTGGTACTGGGCCGCCCTTGGAGTTGGCTGGGGTTTTGTTGCCCTGGTTTGTCTCTGGGTAGGTGGTAGTTTTCGTCACTGGTAGGGGCGCGGGGTACTGCACAGCTAGTTTTCACCATTAACAGCGGCCGGCTCTGTTCCGCCTGGGTACGTTGTCCTCTTGCGGGGTTTTTCTTTTGTTTTTGCCTGGTGGGGTGGTCTGCTTTTACTATGGTCCCCCTTTCCTGTTCTAGGTGAATTTCTTTCGAATAATTCTGTTGGCGGTACTCCCCGCTTGGCCCCCGTGAGTGGACACGTCCCGGGGGTTCAGCTTTAGCAGTTTGTTGGTAGATTTGGGCGCCGGTTCTCGATACCCTGCCTGGGCTTCCCTTAGCGTGTACCAAAGGCTAAGGGCCCTGGGAAACCCCACGGGGGCTCCGTGGTCCTCTAGGTGTGTCCCCGGAGTCCCCCTCGCGTCCTGCGAGTTTGATGGTTGATCTGTCCCCTTGTCTCAGGGTGACACTCACCGGTTGTGCCTCCGCCATGCTGCCTGTTGGGTCCTGGTTTTTGTGACCCGGAGTCGTCCGATAATTGTTGTCGGTACGCGCTCTCCTTCACCCAGGCCACTGGTTTTGATAATCGGGTGCAGGCGGCTGCGGCGTTGCTTGCTGGGTGTGTGTTGCTGCAACGCTCTTGGTTTGCGGCCCCGGATGCCCCGAGGCTGCCCCGTTTTGGTGGATGGGGTCTGGACTTGGGGGTGGAGGTCGCTTCGGCTCTGGCTCCTTCCGCTTCTTGTTCCTCCCCTTCTGTTCTCACTTCCTCCCTTGCTTCCTGCTCCGTATCATAGGAGGGTTTCGGGGTTGGGGCGGGGTCTGGTTGGGTTGAGACTCGGGCGGTCTCGGGGGTTTTCCTCTTCCGGGGTGGTGGCGGAGGCATTCGAGTCGGTTCCTCCTGCCGTGCAGTATGGGTCTGACCAGTGGGCTCCCTTCATTAGTGTTTGCACGGCTGCCCCGGCTTTTCCTTGTTAAGCTGGGCCTTTGGCTCGACCCTGGGTCATGCCGTAGAGGTTCCCGGGGTTAGGGAGGGGTTACCTGGGGGGGCCTCGGCCCCGTTTGCCCCTCTTGGGTAATTGTACCTTTGGCGTGGGGCTGGCAGTTCCTCAGAGTGGGGTTGTTCCTTCCCTCTGTGTTCCTGTTTTCGGGTATACCCCTCCCTGGGTTCGGTTCCGTGTTCCTTCGGGTTCGTCGGTCCCGTTGTTCCTAGGGGTGTGTTTCACCCCCTTTTCCTTACCCTTTTTGCTCCTATGTCGCGATGCTGTTCACACACACAAAAAAAAAAGTGTTCAGGTAAGGTACATCCGTACAAGGTGTGAAACAAACATTGATGGATTTCCATATTGACCTTGTACATAGTGCCTAAACCGCTTCGTATCGTTCGCCCTGCATGTTCCTTGGTCAGGGGTGCTTGTCATGGTTCTCGTTGGTTCGCGAGTCTCTTCGTACCTTCCAATATTATTGGAACGTCTGTTGATTTTCGATGTGGTTTCCAACGGGTCTTTTGTCGGCCTTGTTGGTTCCCTTCCATCTGTTTTCTTACGCTTCGTTTTCGTTTTGTTTTGTTTTCGCGTCGTCTCTACTTCCAGTTTCGGCGTTCTTTGTCTTCGTTCCGCACGCCTTCCTGGTGTTTGTACGATGTCTGTTCGCTGTGTGTACGATTTGTGTGTCCGCCTGGTGTACGTGCCACGCCGCCTGGTGGACGGGTGGTGCGTTTCGTACCTCGTGTGCTGGGGCCGCGGTGTGCGTTTTTGTTTACGGGTGGTATGCTCGTGTGTTCGCACCGTTTCTCGTGGTTTTCTACGGCTTCTTGCTCGTTTCTCCATCCAGTTGTGGCCCTCTGGATGCTGAGGGTGTTTTGGATTTATATCTGGGGGTGTCACTTTGTTCTCCCTCTGTACTGCTTCGTCTTCTGCAGGGCGCGCTCCTCTGGCCGTATTTCTCCTTCGCCCTCGCATTTTATTCAGGTAAGGGTACATACTGTGCCTACTGCCTCGAGTATGCATGGTTTTCGGGCACACCTTTAGCGCTGCTCCTAGTATGTTACTTGGCTCACTTGTGTTGTGGCGCGGTCGTGTGTCTGCTCTGCAAGGTGAGGTTGCCTTGTCTGGCGCTTCTGTCGGCCTAGTGCTGGTTCTCACTTTTTGTGGGGTGCTTGTCTAGTAGTGCTTGCGGGGGTTGAGCTCTGGCTCTTGGGCCCCGCCTCTCCTGTCAGTTGATGGTTGCGCAGTTTCCTGAGCCTTCTGGGCTCTGTCTTCTTGTTTGCTCCTGTGGGTGGCGTCTGCCTTCTCCACTTGGCATTTTGGTGCTTTTGGCTTCCTTTCCCTCTGCCATTAATCGGGGCCTCTTGGCCCGTGCGAGGCAGCTACTAAATTAAATTGACCTTTGCTCCAAGGGGCGAGTTTATTGGGCAGCGCCACTCATCTTGTGAGTGGACACACCGCCATAGCAGCATGTGCAACACTCCCCAATAGGAAGAAAACCCGCTGGGTTGTTCATCCTGTCACTTGTACCCAGACACAGCTGGGACTTGCTTAAGACTTTCGCCCGGTCATGACGCAGCATTACGTCATCTGTTTACTGTCGGTAATGCCGGGGATGACGCAGCATTGCATCATCCACTTTAAATAATCACCAAAAATCAGTTTTTATCCGATTTTTTTGGGACTGGTTTTAAAATGCGCGCCGATGTCTTCCCATTTTCTTTGTTGAGCCTCGTGGCCCTCAGGCGGCTTGGCACACGCTGTGGGCCCATTGTTTTCGCTCCACTGTTGTGACCAATGTCACCTCCCCTCACATCTCAAACGTGTGAACATTTCGGCTATTTTCCGTGACTATATTTCTTAATGCGGCTTTAGAAACTATATACGCTTACTCCACGATGGATAGTGATCATAAACAAGGCCCCTCCAGGAAGAAAATTGCGAAAGAAAGGCTTGAAAAGGGCGGGAATTGGGAGTGTAGCTGGAAGGCGTCTGAGCACTCACTTGCAGCTAACGCGTAGCCCGTCTTCAACTCGTCGGCGGTTGGAGCGGGACCAGGATTTTATTTTATATGCTAATGTTCCTCTAGAGAATTCTATTGCGAACCCATTGAGACCAAAATGAAAGACCTAGGACGAAAATTGAGGTGACCAGAGTGAAAACATTTTATCGCGTTTGCGCGCTCCTGGGTAACTCGTTCGCACTTTCTCTGTTTGCTGCGGGTAATTAGCCGGGCTTTTTGTTGGACGTACGGAACGGTTTGAGTTCCGTCGCTGGTACTTTGTAGAGCTTTGCTTCTCTAGTTAGGCTTATGCGTTTGGAGCGAGTATCTTCTTGGGATACTCTACTCCCTCCTCCACCCTTGTTTACTGTTCCATCCTTGTTTCCTCTTCCCCACTTGGCTGGATTGCGTCGATGGCTCCTGACTGGGGTGTTAGGTGTGGTGTTTGGTCACCTTGCATGTGTCTTTAGTGCCTTTTGTCCATCTTTTGTTCTTTGTTGTCCTGTGGGGCTCTGCCCCGCATTTCGGTGTTTTTGTTTTCGTTGTAGACCCCTGGGTCTTTTCCCTCTCTTGACACTTTCCTTGCCTATCTTCGGTGCCTGACTGCACCCTCACATAGCCGAGGGAGAAATCATCCCAAGAACCTCAAGATAACCCTGCTGTCCGTAAGGTCCCTCAGGTATGTACGCGCTCCTCTACATATTTTGTGGTTGGTCGTGTGCGTTACTTCCCGGCCGCTCCTTGGGCCGTATTCGTGGTTTTTCCTTCCCTAATTCAGTTTTTCCTCCCCCATGCTACACTTTTTTGTGTATCTGAGTCAGTGCTTCTCGATTATTCTGTTTGGTGCTCCGGTGGGCCTCTGTCAATGTTCCACGTCCTGCTTTTGGACTTCTCCGGTGTTCCGTTTTGGTACCGTGTTCCTGCGATTTCTGTGTGGTTTTCTTCGGGCTTCGGGTTGCGCTGTCTGTGGGGGGGGGGGGGGTGTGGACTTTTCGGTCTGCCGCTCCTGCCTTCCTGGTTCCTTTTCTTGGAACCGGGTTTGCTGGGTTCCGGTCCTGGTTTCGGTTTTTCTTTGTTCCTTTTCCGGACCGGGTGTGTTTGTTTTCCTGCGGTTCTCGTCCTCGATAGTTCTCCTCTTGGATGCCTAGGGGATGCGTGTATCATTCTTCCCTGCTGGAGCTGGTTCTGTTGCTCCTTTGGGTTGCGGGGTCGCTGTTTTTAGTTCGTGTTTTGCGCTTTCGATCGTGGTGTTCGTTTCTCGTCGTTTGTGTCGGCACAGGTGGGTTCGTTATTGGTCTCCCACCTGCATGTTTCGTCTCAGGGGCGGTGTTTGGTTTTCCTATTGCTGCGAAGGGTCCTTCTGTCTTTGATAGGGTTGGTTTGTCTTCCCTACAGGGTTGTTCTGGGACCGTTGTCTGGGATTGTCCTGTCACCTCATGTTGGGTGGTGCTGGCGGAGCCGCTCCTGCTTACGTTCAGTGTTGCGGTTCCTTCTGCTCCATTCCACTTGCTGTCCTGGGCGTTGTTTCCCTCTGGCCTGCTCTTGAGTTTTGGGGCCGTCCTGGTCGTTGGCCTGGGCGGTCTTTTTCTTCTCGTTTTGGTCTTTGTTTTGTCTCTGGTTTTGGTTGTTCAGTTAGGACGTGTGGTATCTGCCTCCCGGTTCCTTCCCTGTTTTACTTATCTTTTGGTAAGGTAGCTCCGGGGAGCCGATGGGGTTTCCCCCAGAAAACCAGCGTTGAATGTAGCGAAACGCCATTTTCTGGGTGAGTCCCGAAGGCTCCCCGGCATCCCTCCCTCCCTCCGGTCGGCGGCGTTTTCGCGTCTTTTGACATCCAGCCTAAGAACTGCCAGTTGGATCGCCGGCGTGGAGGGTCTGGGGCTCCCCCTTCCCCCTCTTGGGGAGGGGGGGTTTCGCAGACGGTGGCGCGGCGACGTGATGACGTCATGCTAGTTTGATAATTTTGTTTGGGGAGTTCTGTTCACTCGTTCGGCTTTCGGTAGCAATAATTTCACCAGAATAGGGGTTTGTTTTGGGGCGCCTACCTTTCTGGGTGCCTCTCCCGGTCGATGGCAGACATAGAATGCTCCCAATCACAAGGGGGTTTCTATAGGCCATTGCTCCTCGTGCCTCTCTGAGGGGGGCCAGGTTCTGGCTCGTGGTCCCCGGTAGGCAAGAACTCCTAGCACTTTGACTGATGCCAGAAAGTTATACATATCCATTCAGCCTGGATAGCTCCGGGGAGCCTCCGGGACTCACCCAGAAAATGGCGTTTCATTACATTCAACGCTGGATTTTTAGGTCCAGATAGATGCAGTCAACCCAACCATCTCTTTCCTGTAAAATCTCTGTTGCTCGATCATAGAAACTGAGTAAATTCGATACACAGGATCTTCCAGATCGAAAACCATTCTGTGTGTCTGATATTATATTATTTCTCTCCAGGTGTTCTACCCATTTAGTTTTTATTAGTTTTTCCAATACTTTCACTATTACACTTGTCAATGATACAGGTCTATAATTGAGTGTGTGTGTGTGTGGGTGGGTTGGTTGGCTGGTTGGTTGGTTGGTTGGTTGGTTAAAGACTTGCATGAAGAGTATAGTGGGAAGGAGCACTTACTACCCAAATGAAAATACTGTACTGTTATCATCATTTTCAATATTTTAAGGTTTTTACTAATTATTTATAATTTGATGATTACAGTATTAATTGTTTCCCCTTCCAGATATGAGTTGCATTACATCCCTGGGAAAGGCCATGGCAGCATTTCCGCTAGCTCCACGATATGGCAAAATGCTTGCACTGAGTCACCAACATTCTCTCTTACCATACACAGTTGCCTTGGTAGCAGCTCTTACAGTACCTGAGGTGCTTATAGAAACTCCACTTGACTCAAAAGCAAATGTAAATGGTAAGATTGTTGCAGTGCCTTTGACACAGCTTGTAAATAAAAGTACTGTACTTTTTTGTGATACTGTGCTTGTCTAGTATTGTTCCTTCTGCAGTAGTATGTTAATGTCTTGAACTTTCCTGCATCTTTTAAAATTTACTGATGGGTTATTACAGTACAATATTTAATAGTTATTGTATATTAATATTATTTATTATCTTATAATTTAGCCTTTCTCTGAGATGGACCCTTTGGAAACCTGCTGAGGGCTCCCTCCCAGAAAAAGCTTTGCTAAGCATATCTGATCAGAGACCCATACATTGCCCACTTGGAGTTAAACAAACATCAGCTTTACTTCACGAGAAGAGGGAAACTTGGGGGTCAGAGATCAACCCAGAACTGAAAAAATCATCACGTATTAAGTTTCTAGGCTTTGTATATCCTTACCTCTATGAGAGTTAGGTGGTGAACCTCATAATGATGTCATTTACAGTATGTCTTTCTTCAGTGAGCACATAAAGAAAGTGAAGACTTTCTTCAGTCTTCATGCACCCTTTCCTCTTTCATCAGCATTTGCCCCTTGTACAGGTTTCTGTGATGAATTCCCTTCTGTCCTGGTTCTTCTTGGATTGTCAATTAATGCCAGTTGGATGCATCAAGAGTAGTGTATTTACCCTCTACCAGCAATTGCCTTATTTACCTTGGAAGGGGAGGGGTTTCTACATTCCTTAACCCTTAAATGACGCATGGCTATATACCATTTGACACCCACAGGCGCATACAAAAAAAAAAAAAAAAAAAAAAAAAAATCTTTTTTCTTCCTAACCTGTTAATTTGTCTTCACTGATCATGGGAAAAATAATAAAAAATCGTAAGTGGCATATATTGCCCGCTATAGGGCGGGGAAGTCTGGTAAAAAACAGGCGCTGACTCAGCGTGCGTTCCAGGCGGTCTGTTGATCGCCAGCTGTCATGCCGGAGTTGCCACAAAGAGATAATTACCTAATTATTTCATTGTCTGATTTTGCATAGTTTTTTGCTGAAATATTATTCAATAGAGTGTAGTGTGATATATTTATATAATAAAATGAGTGAATCATCGCTGTACTCAAAAATATGGTGTGCATATTGTTGATTCAATTATGTTCAAACAGTGAACAAATACTTTGTCGGTTATTACACTATATACACAGGTTATATATAAGTATCTGCATGTTTTGTTCACCATAACGAACCACTAAGTTGCTATTATGAGTCAAAAAGTAACGAGGAGTGACCGCCGTGTACCAGCCAGCCACTCACGCCCTCCCTCAAGTCACCTGACTCACCCACCTTCTCCTCCCACAATACTGTTTTTGCTTTTATTCACTATATACAGACGCTATATATAAGTATCTACATTCGTGTTCACCATAACGAACCACTAAGTTGGTATGCTGAGTGGCAGTGGCAGCCTGCCACTGGCTGCCACTCTCTCCCTCACCTCGCCTCACCTGACTTGCCACCATTCTCCACCCACCATACTGTTTTTGCTTTTATATACAGATGTTATATACAAGTATTTACATGTTTTGTTCACCATAACTGTACATCTAAGCTTGTATGGTGAGTAAAGGCACAAAGACGTAGGACCTCACACAGTCAGCTGGCTGCCGTCCTCAAGGCCAGACGCACTAATATTTCTCCTCCAACAATACTGTTTGTGGTGTTATTACGCTATATACACACATTATATATAAATATCTACCTATTTTATTCACCATACTTGTACAAGTAAACTGGTATGGTGCCCAAAGACCATCGTGGTAACCAGTAAACAACATGATAAATCCTGCAGATGATGCCACCGCCCTCACCAAAATGGCGGCTCCCAACCTTGCTGTTTATACCCTCTATACACACGTTATATATAAGTATCTACATTTGTGTTCACCATAGCGAACCACTAAGCTGGTATGGTGAGTACAGTCAATAAAAGGTGGCCACACACAGTCAGAAGACATCGCCACCACCCTCCCTCCCACAGCATTACTCCTCCCTCCATGGCGCACAGCACTAAATATCACCACAATCCTGCTATTATCAGAACCCTGGTCAGTTTTATCACAGTCAGGGGGTCTTCTGTAATAATATCATCGCTACATAATAGCATGAACAAGTATATTATGGCATTTTTAGGCAATGCTGTGGTCACAAGCTGAACAGCAGTGCTGTGAGCTCATGCTGCGTGTGTCAGGCTTGGTAGCTCATTCAATACTGAGGCCCCTAACACCTGGGAATTTGGCCCATGATTTTTTTTTTAAATGGCATCTGTTTACAAGAGCCCTGATGAAGGTGTGGTGAACCCCGTGTATCCGCAGGTCGTTTAAATCTTGCGTAGTACTCCAAAGCATCACATGATGCGATGCTCAATTTACTGCAAGTTGGTCAAAGCATCATATGATGCGATGCGCAATTTAAGGGTTAACCCTTAAACTGCGCATGGCGTATATATACGCCCTGAGTAACATGTCCCATGGTGCGCATGGCGTATATATACGCCATAGGGTGCCAGGCCTGATTCAAATGGCCCGCGGCTACATGGGGTTCACAGTAGCTTCCTCAGGGCTCTTGTAAACAGATGCCATTTTAAAAAAAAATCGTGGGCAATATTCTCAGGTGTGAGAGGCACAGTACTGTTGGAGCAACCAAGGCCGGCGCACGCAGCATGAGCGAACAGCATTGATGTTCAGCTTGTGACCACAGCATCGCCGAAAAATGTCAAAATAAATATATAATTGTTATTATTTAGCGATGACAATATTACAGATGACCAATGACTGTGATATAAATAACCAGGGTTGTGATAATAGCAGGATTGTTGTAATAATTAGCGCTGTGGGAGGAGTGATGCTGAGAGACGGAGGGAGACAGCATCGTTTACTGACTGTGTGGCCACCTGTTATTGTTTGCATTCACCATACCAGGTCAGTGGTTCTCTATGGTGAACACAAATGTAGATACTTATATATAATGTGTATTAGTGTAATAACAGCAAATGGATTATGCTGGGAGGAGCCATATGGGTGACGGAGGTGACGTCGTCTGCACGATTTGTCTAGCTGTGTAGAGGGTGGCCACTATGCTCTTTGGGCGCACTACAAGCTTAGGTGTACAGTTACGGTGCATAAAACATGTAGATATTTATATATAATATGTGTATATAGGGTAATAACACTGCAAAAGGTATTGTTGGGGGAGAAAGTTTAGTGCGTGTGACCTTGAAAGAGTGAGGGAGCCGCCATCTGTGTATAGCGACGACTCTTAGTGCCTCAACTAACTATATCAGCTTAGCTGTACAGTTGTGGTGAACAAAATATATACATACTTATATATAACGTCTGTATATAGTGTAATAACACCACAACTGGTATTGTTGGGGGAGAAAGTTTAGTGCGTGTGTTGAGGGAGTGGCAGCGAGTGGCTGGCTGGTGTGTGGCGGTAACTCCTCGTTGCTTTTCGACTCTCAATACCAACTTAGTGGTTCGTTATGGTGACCAAAACATGCAGATACTTATATATAACCTGTGTATAGAGTGTAATAGCAGCAAAACTATTTGTTTATTGTTTTATAAACATAATAATTGAATCACTAATATGCACATCATACTTTTGAGTATAGCGATTATTAACCACTTTTATTATATAAATATATTACAATACACACTATTGAATAATATTACTGCAAAAAAACTAAGAAAAAATCAATCGGAGACATTGAAACAATTAGGTAATAATATCTTTGTGGCAACTCCCATCTGTCAACGCGGGTGACGCTGACCGGGTCTGACGACCGCTCTGTCAACGCCCACTTTTTGCCAGACTTCCTCGGTCAATTGCGCCCAAAATATGTTACCTACGATTTTTTTATTATTTTTTCCGTGCTCAGGGGACACAAATTAACATGTTTAGAAGACGAAAAAATTTTTTTTAATTTTTTTTTTCTTGCGCACAGGGGTGTAAATGTCCCAAGGACCCCTGAGCAGTGTAAGGGTTAAAGCAGTTGTTTGTTTTGTTGTGTCTTATGTTTTATGGCGGGTAATTAATAATTACCCACCATAAAAGTAAATTACTTCAAGTGTAATTACCCACCATAAACATAAGACACAACAAAACAAACAACTGCTTGAAGGAATGTAGATTTCCCCGTGTCCTATTTTTTGTGCTCTTTGTTCCTCAAGCTCTCCTTGCCTCATTTTATGAAGAAGATTTTGGTTCAAGTTGTGGTAGGCAACAGATGGGTCTGAGAAGTCTGGTATATTTAGCTAAAGTTTGTTTCAGCAGCTGGAGATTCGCCAGAATAAGACATTTCTTTTCATTCATCACTTAATTTTTAGATATTATAAATAAATTTGATTTTAGCATTTTAAATGTGTTATGCTTGATTTATTCTAATCATTTAATGTTAAATCTTTAGACACACAGAAAAGATGGCAGAATTTACGTTTATCATGGGCCGGCAGCGGTAATTCCCGAAGCCTGGGAGATGCCATGGTATTGCTTCGAGCTGTTGGTGCTGCCGAGTACCAGGGTGGAGAACGGCAGTGGTGTGAAAATAATGGTCTTAGGTCAGTAATTTACTTGTTAGTTTTGTATTTGTAAGATCATTAAAATGTTACAAAATAAACTTATTTCCAAATATATTTAACTTGCTTCTAGGTTACTGACAGGAATCTTTGGAAATGTACATTATAGTACTGATTTGTTTACTTGGAAGGTGAACATGATTGCACTAAAGTATTGGCCTATGTTAATGTCATTGTATACTATGTGTATATAAAGTATTAAATTATATATCCATACTCTGTAGGTGAAGATAATATCCCATTTAATTGACATGTTACTTATTTTGAAAGTTTTTGACAGATACAAAGGAATCACCGAGATACGCAAATTGCGTCGGCAGTTGACCAATGAAATCAATCTTATTATCCCATCGTGTGACCTTGTTCTTGATCCTAAGATGCCACCTCCTACTGATGACCAGGTAGTGTTTACTGATGCCCTTTAACTGTAGTCTTGGTATGAGAGAGGGGTATTTATGAAGGGGGGGGGGGTCCCCTTCGGCTCCCCAGAGCTATCCAGGCTGATATGTATATTATTAAAATTTGGCAACAGCCAGTGTGAATGGAGTTCTAGGTTTACCAGGGACCACGAGCCAGAACCTGGCCCCCTCAGAGAGGCATGAGGAGCAATGGCCTATAGAAGTGCACATGTGGTTGGAACATTCTATGTCTGCCATCTACCAAGCTGGGCACCCAGAAAGGTAAGCGCCTCAAAACAAACCCCCTATTCTGGTTAAAACTACTACTGTACTGAAAGCTAACGAGTGGACAGAACTCCCCAATTGAAAAACAATCAAATGAGCAGGAGGCTGCTAAGGAGCCTCCGGGACTCACCCAGAAAATGGCGTTTCATTACATTCAATGCTGATTTTTTGTGGAGAGCCCCCCCCCCCCCTCAGGCCTCCTGGAGCTATACATAAGAACATTAGAATGAAGGTAACTGCAGAAGGCTTATTGGCACATACGAGGCAGCTCTTATTTATATCCACCCAATAAACATCAGAGGTCCACATTTGTTCAACATCCTCACAGCGAGCATGAGAAATATTGCTGAAACGACCATGGATATCTTCAAGAGAAAACTAGATCATTTTCTCCAATAAGTACCGGACCAGCCAGGCTGTGGTGGATGTGTGTGTCTGCAGGCTGCTCCAAGCAACAGCCTAATGGACCAAACTCTCACAAGTAAAGCCTGGCCATGGGTCGGGCTTTGGGAGTATAAGAACTCCAAGAACCTCATCAAGCAGGTATCAAGCTCCATTTGAGCAATCTCATTCATATATATGTCCAACCTATGCTTGAAACAATCAAGGGACCTCACTTCTATTATGTTATGCAGTAATTGGTTCCACAAATCAACAATCCTATTACCAAACTGGTATTTACCCAGGTCTTTCCTAAATCTAAACTTATCCAATTTATACCCATTGTTTCGTGTTCTGTCTTGTGTTGATACTTTTAATATTTAAAAAATATAAATACCAGGTTGATGTGTATGTATTAGACCGTGGCAACAGTCAATCGATTGAGTACTAAGTCTATCGGGGACCGGCCCCATAACCTGGCCCCCCCCTCAGAGAGGCACGAGGAGCAATGGCCTATAGACACCCCTCATGTAGTTGGAAGCAGTCTATATCTGCCATCTTCTGTGGTCAGGCACCCAGAAAGGTAGAAGTCCCAAAACAAATTACAGCTGGTGAAAAATATCTGACCAAAAGCCAAACAAGTAAACAGAACTCCCTAATCAGAAAATAAGTAAACGAGCATGATGTCACCACAGCTGCTGTGCCGCTGTCTCTGCAACTTTCCCTTCCCCGGGAAACGGAAGAGGGGGTTCCAGACCTTCCGTGCCGGCTATCCAACCCCAGTTCAGTGGCTGCTGTGTTTGGTGGCGGTCGATCGACTCTGGCTCCATCGTTTTGAGGAGTGTTGTTCTTTGTGGTGGTATGTGAGCCAGAAGTATCACAGGAGTACTGGGGCTGCATGCACCGAGGGCCACCTTCCCTAGGTGCCCTGTAAGTACTGCCCTTGTGGTATAGAGTTATCTTCCATAGGCTGTTCAGGAGACTACCTCCGTGTGGTTCTTTTGCTGCTCGGTGATTGTCCGCTCTTGGGGGTCAGCTGGGGTTGTTCTGTGCACCTGTCTGATATATGCATAGTGGCTGGTTCTGTTTCCCTGGGGACATTGTGCCTTTGTGGGGTTTTCTTTTTCTTTTGTTTCGTTTTGCCTGGTGTGGCTGTAGGACCACTTGTTTGATTTTGGTGGCCCTCTGCTAGGTCCCTGTGATTGCACACGTCGCAGGGGTTTAGCTTTTAATTTGTTTGCTTGGTAGCTCTGGAATAACCGGTTAGCAGTACCTTGCCTGGGCTTCCCTTAGCAGTCAGCCTAAGGGCCCTGGGGAACCCCCTGTTGGGGCTCACTGGTCTGATGGAGGAGACCTCTGTCCCACCTCGCTTCGTATGAGTTTGAGGGTTGCTCTGTCCCACCTCGCTTCGTATGAGTTTGAGGGTTGCTCTGTCCCACCTCGCTTCGTATGAGTTTGAGGGTTGCTCTGTCCCACCTCGCTTCGTATGAGTTTGAGGGTTGCTCTGTCCCACCTCGCTTCGTATGAGTTTGAGGGTTGCTCTGTCCCACCTCGCTTCGTATGAGTTTGAGGGTTGCTCTGTCCCACCTCGCTTCGTATGAGTTTGAGGGTTGCTCTGTCCCACCTCGCTTCGTATGAGTTTGAGGGTTGCTCTGTCCCACCTCGCTTCGTATGAGTTTGAGGGTTGCTCTGTCCCCTTGTCTCAGGGTGACATTCACCGTCTTTGCTTCCCCCTTGCTGCCTGTTGGGGTGATGGCACCTTTGACCTGGAGTCTTGCGAGTGGTGTTCCTTGCGCGTACTCCAGTTCACCCAGTCAGATAATGCTGTTGATCGGTGCAGGCAGCATCTGCATTGCATGTGGAGTTTAGGTTGCTGCAATGCTCTAGATTAATTGGCTTTCTGGGTGCCCTGCGGTTGTCCCACTTTGGTTATAAGGACCTGGACTCGGGGGGGGTGGTGTTAGTCGCTTCAACTCTGGTTTCATCCGCACCCCTTGTCCTTTCCCTGCTGTGGTTCATTCTTTTTCCCCCCTCCCCCCTTCTCACGGCTTCAAAACTTCTGAGGGTTTCGATGTCCGGGCAGGGTTTTCTTGGTGGTGAGACTTGGCCTGCGTTGGGAACTGCCTCTTCTGGATTGGCAGCAGAGGCAGTCAAGTCTTTTCCTCTTGTTGGGGCTTTTGGGTCGCCCCAATGGGTCACCCTTCATCCATGTTTTTCCGGTGGACTCTGCCTTTTCTCCAGAAGCAGAGGGTTTGGAGGACAGCTCGGCCCCAGTTCCTGACATGAAGGATCCCAGGACTGGGGAGGAGTTGACTTGGGGGACTTGGGTCCTGGTTTGACCCCGCTTGGGTGTTGGTACCCTAGGTGTGGGGCTTGTTGTTACAGGGGGGAGAGGTTTTCCTATCCTTCTCCTTGTACCAGTTTGATATTGGTTCGGTTCCAGGTTCCCTTGGGTTCCTCAGTTATTTCTGCCGAACCTCTGGGTCCTTGGTAGGCTAGAGAACTCCACAATTGATGGCACCTAGTCAACGACACTTACATTGAAGACGGTAGCTTCAGGGATCCTCCAGGGCTCGCTCAGAAATTGGTGTTTCCTTACATTTAATGCTGTTCTTTTGGCGGTTTGGGTTGCTAATCTTAATTGTTTCCTGTGTGTTTATTTTATTGTTTCCTTCTGTCCACTTTCAAGTACAGTACTGTATTCTAGTTAATTCCTCGTTTCTGTACCTGTGCTGGTGTTGTAAAAATCTACATTCACTACTTTTGTCTGTCGTCTAGTTTCAGGGCTTTCTTACCGGTTTGTGGACTTGGGTGTTCTCGGCTGTGAGTGTGCCTTTTTGTTTTTGGGCTGTCTCTCTCTTTGGTCTTGTACTATGAGTGTGTGTGTATCTGGGCCATGCTATGTTGTAAAACCAGCCAGCCATGCTGGTCTGCTGTCCATGCTGATTTTCTGGGGTCTGCTGATCGTTGTTGATCTACTGTACTGTTTGGTTTTCCCGTGCTATTGTTGGTTTGCAAGGTCGCATTGGTCTGCCGGGTGGTGTTGGTCATTACTATTACTACACAATGTTTAACAGTATCACTTGCTTTGGACACCGATCACGTCCACTTTTTTTCTAGAGTCCTAGCCGTGGACAGGACTCGCGTCCACTCCAAAAATATTTGTATAAAATTCATTTTTTCTGTGGGGAGCCCCTACGGCTCCCTGGAGCTTATCGGGCTAATGTATGTTATGTTAGACCGGGACATTAGCTAAGGAGTTCAGACCTACCAGGGACCAGCGCCAGAACCTGGCCCCTTCAGAGAGGTTTCAGGGAGCAATGGCCCTGGAAAACCCCATATGGTTGGGGGTTTTCCTTATCTGCCATCGACCGGGGTTAGGCACCCAGAAAGGTAGGCGTAACAAAACAAACCCCACATGGTAAGAAACTACAACAAAAACCGAACAGAGAGGTAGAAAACTCCCTACAATCCCAAGGAAACAAGCAAACAAGCAAACATCACACTTTACTGCCGCGCCGATCGTCCGCGCAGCCCTCCCCACCTCGGGAGGGGGAGGGGGGAGCCCCGGACCTACCGCGCCGGCTGCCAAGCTCCAGTTCGTTCGCTAATGTCAACCGGGATTGACGCTTCTCTGGCCTCAGTTTCCTAGGCGGTGTTTGCCTTGTGTGGCGTTCACTGCCGTGTGTTGTGGTGTGCGGTGGCCAGGAGTACTTCATCAGTGCCGGGGCTGCATGTGCTTAGTGGCTGACTTCCCTAAGCGCCCTGTGAGTACTGCCCTTGCGTAACAGGGTTATCTTCCCTGGGGCGTTCGGGAACCATTCCCGTAGAGGTTCTTGCTGCTCGGCATTTGCCTCGCCCTTGGGGCCAGCTGGGGCTTGGGGCCCTTGTTTGGCCCTGGGTAGGGTTTGGTATTGTGCTGGTTAGGGCGTCAAGGTGTTGCGCAGCCTGCCACCTAAGCGGCGGCCGGTTTCTGTTGCCTCTGGAGACGGTGTACTTTTGCGGGGTTTTTCTTTTGTTTTTCATTTTCTTGCTTGGTGGGGGTCTGCCTAAGGTGGTTATAGTTCCACTGGTAGTGTTTGGCGGCCCTCTGCTAGGCCCCCGTGCTTGTACACGTCTCAGGGGTTTTCAGTGCTATAATCTACCCTCTTGTTATGTTTGGGTTTCTTAACCGGTTAGCAACACCTTGCCCGGGCTTCCCGTAGTTGTTACCCTACGGGCCCTGGAAACCCCTGTCTGGGCTCGGGGGACCATTGAATGTGTCTTCCGGGTTCCAACCCGTCTTGAACGGGATCGTTGGTTGCTGTTCCCTTGTCTCCAGGTGACAGTCGCCATTT